ACCCAGCCAATCGGCCTCAAGAGCAGGAGGATTGTGGGAGGTGGTGAGGTTTGTGTGGGTGAGAGGCTTGTGGAAGCCAGTGGTGGCAGTTGGGCTCTGAGGGTTTTTTTCCTGAGGAGCTGTTTTGTTTGGCGGTTGTAGTTCTAAAAGTAAAGTTAGTTTCTTTTGACAAGTGGCTCCTGAATTGTGCCCAGACAGACTGCGGCAGTCTCACACCAGTATCACTCCAGGGGTTTTCCAAGCCATTAGCCTCAGACTTCTGTTAGGTCATCCAGAGACTTCCAGCTTCCTACACTGAGCAGCTACTAGTTCCTTAGCTCTTCAGCTTCCAGACATGCTAGGAATATACAGCTTCTGATTATGTTAGCCAATCTAATAACTAACCTTTCATAATTATATATACATTGCCTTGGTTTTGTACCTCTAGAGAATCCTAATACACATCACATTTTTTAGGCTTAATATCTTAAAGGAGCAAAACATTTGTATAGACATTATACAAAGAAGATATAAGACAGTACATGAAAAAGTGCTCAGTCTCAATAATATCTAGAGAATGAAAACTAAAACTAAATTGAGATGAAATTACATTAGATAAGAATGGCTAAAATTGAAAAAATATTAACACTGAATATTGGTGATGTCTATGGAAAATGGCAGCAGTAAGAAAAACTGCTAATGTGATAATAAATGTCAAATATACATTTTACTAGTGAGGCACAGTGGAGGACACCTGTACTCCCAGCATCTGGGAGGCTAAGACAGGAGGATAGTGAGTTCAAAGCCAGTCTCAGCAATAGTGAGACACTAATCAACTCAGAGAGACCCTGTTTCTAAATAAAACACAAAAATAGGGTTGGGGACATGGCTCAGTGGCTGAATGCCACTGAGTTCAATCCCTGGTTTTCCCAAAAAAATATATATATATATACATTTTATAACACTAGGAAGAATTTGGTGTGATGAAATGACCAATAATGTAGTTACATAGAAATCATTATAGTCATTGATTTTTATGAGTTAATCATAGTGTTTTTAATTATGAATTGCTGGATCTCCCTATTGATAACAGCAGCAAAATACTAAGTTGCATTCTAAAAAATGGCCAGAAAATGTAAACTAGGGATAGTGCATTGCTATATAATTTTTACACAGTGAAGCATTAGTTGGTAAACAGCTGAATAATCCACCCAGTAACATTATATATAGAATAGGCAATGCATTTATTTTAAAGTATACATTTTTGCATGTTTTTATATTTTTCTCTCCATCAGCTCCTCTTTCCTTCTAATACAGAGCCATTATACAAGTTTCAGATAAAATTAACTGTCTTCATATTTTGTTTTCATAATCTATTACTTTGGAAAATATAAAGAACTCATGTTAATATACCCCAAATTAAGGATTGTTATCCAAATTATGAATAAGCAATTTCTTTGGGATATTTCCATACTTAATACCCACAGATCTCTGTTACTGGTTGTTAAGTGAGGGATGGCTAAATACAACAAATTCATGTGGTGAGGGATAAGAAATTTAATGTTATTACAATGCTATTAATAAGACATTATAAGTATTGTAATATTACATTATTAAAAACAAATAATTATAAATTCAAACCAATCTTAGAAAGGATTAACATGCTGTTAAGATTAACTTATATTTTGTTTCCTGTTAATAGTCCAAATTGTTGAAGTAGTTATCCTGAATAAAAATTTTATGTTCTAAAAGTTGTATTTTGAAAGTGTTTCAAGGAAGAGTACTTCATTTAAAATATCAATAAAAGAGCTTTGAATTCGAATTACTTGAGTAGGATGACATTTGTCAGATTTATCCATTGTAAAGTGAATATTATTCCCTTTCCATTGTCTATTCTTAGAAAGTAAGTCAATGAATTCAGAGAAGATTCAAAAAGGGATGGGACTGAGTTCTAACTTCTTGAGGGGAGATTGCATGCTTAAATGATTTTGAATTCTTTTTTAAGGAAGATTTGTCTAAGGGAAGAGAGGTTTAGAAAGGCAAGTGTGACATATTCTACTGTAAAATTTTTGCAAAAGAAGAATCAAAAGTCTTCATTGATTTTGGCAAAATGAATGCCAGTTAACTGAGAATATCAGTTTTAATTTAATTATGAGACTGAGATCCAGATGAGTGTGAAGAAGAATAAATTAGAAGGAATTAAAGACAGTATAGATGGACACTTCTTTAGAGTTACTCAGGTGGAACAAGAAAGAATGACTATAGCCTAGGACTCATGTGACAATGACAATCACATTCTGTTTTTTGAGTATATTGTGTTCTGGGAACATAATTCTCAACTTTAATCCAGATTTTTAGCAACTTTAGTCATAGGAAAGTATAATTTTTAGAATCCTCAACTTGACTAAATTTAAATTAAAAAAATTCATATATCAAAATTGAAAGTTGTTATCATGGATTTTCTTTTTAATCATCTGTATAAAAAAGATTTCTGTAAAATAAGAAGGAGATCTAGATGAAAAGGATTCTTCGTTGCTTGGAATAAAATTTGCAGCTAACCTGCCCATAATTTTCCTGGTAGTTTACATCAAATATCAACAGATGATTTGGACTTTCTTTACCTACCACTCCTCATGGGCACTTATTATTTAATAGATTTTGTTTTCACAATTGCAGGTGGCGTTGCAACCTTTCTTGGTAATTGGATTTTCACAGGTTAGTGCATTTTTCAGATATTTACAGTTACCATAGCCATCTTCATGATCACAACCATTGGCTGAAATTAAAAAAAAATAAAACCTTATTATTGTTTTCCTCCATAGAGGAACAACACACACAGTAAATTCAATATGAATTTGGAGAAGGGAAGTGAGTTACCAAGTTGATCTCATTACACTTTGATGATTGTCTCAATCTTGAGAAGAACAAACTTTGCTCTCTTTTTTTGTTTAATTTGAGGATTTAAAAATGTTTCTAAGATAAATTTGGCTTTCTATTTAAAAAAATGTACAGTAGGAAATGCTAGTGAGTGGTATTGGTCAAATTATATTGTTGTATTTTAAGCATGTGTGAATATGCACAACAAATCCACCACACGTACAACTATAGTGCACCAAAAGGAAATGTGGAAAAAATAAAATATATTCCAAATAAAAAAATTAGAATAAAATTCACATAAGTGAATCTGTCTAGAACTGCGTTATCCAAAATGATAGCACTAGACATAGGCTTGTTCAATCTTACATTTAATTAAAAGTTATATTTCAGAACCATGGCAACACCAGTTTTATACCAAGTGCTCAATAGTCACTGAAATCTAAAAGGGGGCTACCTTAGAGCATAGTGAAAATACTGAATATTTTCATTATTGTAGAAATTTTATGGACACAGTTAACCTAGACTCTAATGTCACTAGTCTTTCTCACAGGAGTAATTTTGTAGAAAGATAAAGATATAGAGTATGGAACATTTCCATTTTCTAACACCCCTCAGTGGACAAAAATTGAACAAATCTCAAATTATATTCATCATCCTATCTATAATCTTTACATTTTGTTGATATCAAGGAGCCCATAACCTTCCATTGACCCAGTTTCAGAGAAATGGCAGTTCTAACAACTGAATAATTCAAAACAGGAACTAGGAAATAACAGGATCTTGTTTCTTTTTACTTTTTGTTTTAGATTTTTGAGAAAGGGTTTCACCAATGTCATCTAGGCTGGTCTCAAATTCATTCATTCAAGTGACCCTTCTGCTTAAGTCTCCCAAGCAACTGAGACTACAGGCATGCACCACCATAGCCAGCACTCTCTTTATTTTTTTATCAGCATTTAATAAGCACAACCAACAATTACTAACTATTCTTCTCTCTCTCTCTCTCTCTCTCTCTCTCTCTCTCTCTCTCTCTCTCTCTCTCT